TCCGGCCCCTTCCCGGTGGAGCGCGGCCGCGGCGACGGCTTCGAGGCGACACCCCGTCCAAGATTCTCCCATGGAGCCATGTTCCCCGAGCGCTCCCCTGCCATAATCTTGGAGGGCGAGAGGCGATGGACACCGTCTCCTCAGGATCGCCGGCGGGGAGCTCTGTTCCCGGGGTCTGACGGCCATGACCCCTGGACGCAGCGCTCCATGGAGAGACTGGGGCAGCAGAGCTCGCCACGTGGAGACCGTGGGGGCTCGTTCCTGGAGACAGGAGACCGTGGGGAGCCCTACCCTTTGGGCCCGCCGCCTCCACACAATCTCGGGGGCGGCAGAGGGGGCTTCCCACCACGGCGGTTCTTTCGCGGGAGGGGCGGGCTCCAGCAAACTGGGCCGCCAGGCGGCAGCGGACGCCAGCGATCGCCTCGCCAGAGCTCGGTACTCCCTGCGCTGCGCACCGAGCCTGAAGCGTCGGGCGGCAGCGGACACCAGAGCTCGGTACTCCCTGCGCTGCGTACTGGGCCTGAAGCGTCGGGCGGCAGCCGACGCAAGGCATTCCCCCGGAAGAGGTTGCCCCGCCCTGTGCGCGGAGTGCTGTCGGAGAAGCAAGTGGCAGGTGCTATCAAGTCGACAGGAGTCGAGGAGCCGCAGCGTCCTTCGGAATCTAAGCATGGTGATTCAAATGGGGCGGTCAGACCGGAAGCTGCAAATTATGAAGGAAAGATCAAGCCAGAAGCTACGGTGGATGAAGGAGATGGGACTATCACCTCTGGTCTGATTGTAGGGATGTGCACAGATGTACAGAAAGGCTACTTCCGTCTCACCGGGCCTCCAGATGCAACAAAGGTAAGACTTTCAGTGAACTTTCAGTTGAATTGCTATTGGTGTGAGTGTTTTGAAAGAAGATGCCTTGAAATCATAGTTCCCAGATCCCACTTGCCGTCCATCTTTTATCGGACCGTGTTATTGATCCCATGTTGTAGCTCAGCATCAGTCATTAGCCATTGAATAGCTGCTTGCAAATTGCATCGTTGGTATATCTCCTGCATAGAAAATTTCTGCTACAGCCCAAACTTGACTAATGTCTGTCTGCTATATTAGATGTAGGAAAGATTTTGTAGCTTCGATCATCTATGTATGACATCTGTTTTTTGACTGTATATGTATATGAACTGTTCATTGACTGATTCTTGTGCAAATCTGGCTATGAGCCATTGATTTCTGCTGTAGTATGTCAAATTACTGTAGTTATACAGTAACCACTACTATGGATTTCCTATCTTATTTAGTACTATTATTTGTGAAGTTCAAATTTCTGAATGTCAGAGCCAAATACTGTAGTTATGCAGTAACCACTACTCATGTTTCTCTGAATTCCTTTTCTTCCTTTGATATACTTTTATTTTCCTTTTGCTACTTCTAAACAGCAATTGACCTCTTTTCCTGTCTTTCAGATAAGACCAAAGCTTGTACTTGTAGAAGCCCTGAAGTTTGTCCAGGTCTCAAGTAAAGACTACAATTTTAGAACAGATCAACTGAAATCAATTCGTCAAGATATGACTATCCAGAACATAGAGGATGAACTTTCTGTGCAGGTTATTCCCACAAATTATATTTTCCCTATTTCACTTGTGGCACCAGACTACATTGTTGTTCTAACATATTCTTTTCTCTTCTACAACCATTTTCTACCTTTTCAGGTTTATGAGTATCATGCAAGACTTGCGTTGTGCAATCGAGATATGGCTGAACTTAACTTGGTTAGTACTCCTTGAGATACATTAAAGAATGCTTGGTTTGAGATATATTAAAGAATACTTGGTTTGAGATATATGGCAAATCTGTTATGTTTGTCTTCTATGCATCATTAGCTATTTGTGGCTGTACATGAGTTAGAATTGGTACCTTTTTTGCATATATAATCAGCAACTTCAAGCTTATCAGAATTAGAATTCGGGAAAACATGTTCTTTATGTGAAATTGTTCTCTAGCCCTGCTACAGCTCCCCTTTTTTTGTACGTAATGTGATTATTTGCACACACTTATCTCATGGTATTGCTCTTGCGCGCTTCTTGGATTTTCAGTGCCTCACGAAGCTGCACTGCCTCTATGGGAATAAGCGGAATGGTGGCCATCATGGTGAATTTGCAGCTTATGATATATTGTTGTCTGCGATTCAAGACAAAAATACTGAACTGATGTCTAAACTTGGAAGGTATATATTTTTCCTTTTATTGTGACATAAAAAGCAAACAGAGTAGGGTTAGTACGGTTAAAAATATCATCGATAGGTTCACTGGCACAGTTAAATAGATATGTTGTATACCCTTGTTCTATTAGTGTCATAGTTGAGTTTTCAAAACAGACACAACCTGCTCAAATAAATGCTGTTAACCGTGGTTGTGAACTGATCTTTTAACATTCATCAAAATCAGATAACATACTGGTGTATTATTGTCTAGAAATAAGACCGGCTCCTGTAACTCAACCAGACAGCCATTATATGTCACCTGCCACTGCACCTTATGGCAACTTAAATAATCTTTTGCACAAAAGCCCTCGTGCATTATGCAAGTAAGGTATCGAATCTGAATAACTGCTCCAATGTTTTGCCACTAATTAAAGACCACACTGTTCATTTTGTTTCCTAGGCTGTCAAGCGACCTGAAACAGCAAGAAACTGTGAAGCATGCCAAAGAAGTGGCTCACAGTATACAGACAGGGAACTATGCATCATTTTTCAAACTCTACAAGGTGGCTCCAAACCTCAATGGCTACCTGATGTGTAAGTTAAATCTTTCCTAGACTTTCTTATGCAAATGGTCATCAGATATGTGGTTATTAGACTATGTTGATAACAACCGTTGGTTACCATTTATGCTAATTGTAGTTAATGGTGAACATGCTTACGATTTTCTAGGTCTCTGCTTTGAGAAGATGAGATTTGAAGGTTTAAAATGTATGGCAAAGGCCTACGCAACCAAGATACCTGTTAAATACGTATCCAAAATCTTAGGTTTTGCTGCAGTAGACGGAAGTGTTGATTGGCTTAAAAGTCATGGTGCTGTTTTATCATCCTTCGAGAATGGGGAGATGGCTTTACTGCCAAAGGTACCTACCTCGCATTATACCTTTGTACATTTAGCCAATCGCCGCATTTACTCCAGCTACTAGCTTTTGGGATCCCCCAGGATTCATTTTTTGCTACCTATCTGACAGAAAATTATCTGTTCATTCTTTGTTTCTGACCTGAAGGCAATGTGGCCTGTAGCTTTGTTAAATGCTGAAATGACATGCTCTGAATTTTTCATCACTCAAACACATGATGCATACGTAATTGTAAATTGCATGATGGGTCTGCACTTATGTGATCAACGGATAGTGCGCTCACAAAATGCTCGAGGTTGAGGTTGTTATAGAAATGATATAGCTTTTGCCACTCTGTTGCCAGCATGTTATTTATCTGCTGCTATTTAAATCACGGGATATATTTCCTATCAGATTGCTACCAGATTTCTGAAACTAGTGACTCCAGAAGGATTAACCAAAACTGTAAGCCTAATGCTGCAGCCTAACACATGCCTTGCCATTTTGCAGGACTCTACAGCTCTCGTCTCTAAGCCAGAACTTGCTGCTGATGGTATTCGTGCTTTCCAAGCCCGCTGATCTGAACTGAAGAATCACTGATCAAAACTCCTCTGCTCGGGAATGGTGCTTGATAACGCTGAAACAATGTAGCTCTTGGTGAACTCATCACTTCTTGTATGTCCTCCCTGATGTTACTACTGAAACTTATCACGGATCCTGTTGGTTGGCTCAGTAGCTTAGCTAGAACAGATTTATTTCTTTTTTCAGCTCTTGGATCTGCCATTGCGGCTTGCATGTGGTTGAGCAAGAATATGGGTCCCCATGTAGTAACATCGTTAATATGTGAAGTAGTTGTCGTGGTAGCTCCTCGTTTCAAGCGTCTGCCGGGTGATATTCACTTTTCTTAAAAACTTGGAAATGTTGAATGAAGAGCTCATTCGGGCAAAGTAACGATGTTCCTTATGGAAGAACTTCTCATGTCAGATGTTTTTCTGTCAGTCCACGGTTGCTCTCACTGGCGTGCTGAGCAACCGTCAAACCTTTTCCTATCCTTGGGGCTCCTAGAACAGCCAACCGTCCTATTCCGCCCTATATTCAGCAGCGTTTTTTTTTTTTTTGCGGGAATATTCAGCAGCGTTAAGAGCCGATGTAAACTCTTCAGATTTCCTTTGGCAAGGACAAATTTGCCCATTTAACTGCAGTCTGTGGTCTGAACTACTCATTTCTATCAGGTTAGCATCTGCTAGATCTCCGGACTACACTAGGAAAAGATTTGCAATTGAAGTTGATTTTGGATTCAAATTATTTGTATAGTACTCGTATCACCTGCTGCAGCTGTGAGAGCCAGAATGGCTGGTACGTAAGAACTTGCAGCACCCAGCAGAGTAGAAGATGCAATCGCAAGAGTCGGTAGGTGCTTAAAACACTGAGGGCACAGCAGTTGCTATCAGAAACCCGCTGGTTTTGCCATTGACCCAGAGCCGCGGAAAAAAATTTGTGAGCCGAGAAAAACTTTGAAGTACATTTTAGAGGCCCCGACACATTCCATAATCTCCGGGCATTGCTCATGGGAAAACACACACAGCTGCCCATGCCGAGCTCCGGTAACCGAACAATCAAAGTCCAGAAATAATAATACCTCTTGACCAAAAAAGAAACTTTGAGATATAGCACTCAAAAGGCTAATTGGAGATGCCATCATACATAATTAATCAGCATTACAAGCTTGCAAAACGGTACAAGTGCATAGCGCCTAGCATCCCTGAGTTTTGCCAAATTATTTATTACTGTACCTCTGAATCACCGGACACGTCATCAGCATCGCGACTAAAAACTCGAGCTGGAAGGACCCAAAAATCCCAGCAAACTATGGAAGGAACTAATCGCAGTAGCGTGGCCGCGACGCAAATCATAATCTAGTTGACATTGTGGAAGGAGTCGATGATGGCATCGGCAAGGTACTCGCACTTCGCCAGGTTCAACCCCGCCAACGAAATCCTCCCGTCCTTGGTCATGTATATGTGCCATTTATCGGTCATGTTATCGCTCTGCAAAACACGAAAGAGGGAACTTAGACGGTTACACAATGATACGTTTTGCCGACATATCATTCAAAGATAATACGTCAAAACAGTTTGTCATCTGTGGGATTCAAAGGCAAAGTCACCTGGGGTCTGTTCAAGCCTGTGAACGAGAACATGCCTATCTGGCTCAGAATGAAAGACCAGTCCTTGCCAGACTGATCCTTTGCAGTCAAGCTATCGTAAAGCTTCTGCCGAACGTTCTTGATCCGACCGGCCATTTGTTCCATCTCTTCTTTCCACTCACCGAACATGGTAGGGTCTCCAACAACGTTGGCGACGATCTTGGCACCGTGAATAGGTGGGTTTGAGTACATGGGCCGTGCCAATCGCTTCAACTGGCTCTTCACCCTGCAAAGTTTCCAGTGTCATAATAAATAGACAATACATACATATTCTTACAGTGAAGACACCGTTGCAGCAATTTGGTTTACCCTAAGCAGGACTATCACCGTACAGTGTGCAGGATGAGGGTGCCGAAATTCAAAATAGCATTTCATGCAACTGAATGTAAGGGGAAAAGGCAGGTAGGCAAGCAGTCGACCATTTAAAACACAAGATTACCTATCTGCAACTTCCGGTGCTGAGCAAATGACATTTATCGCACCGATCCTTTCTGCATATAGACCAAGGTTCTTGCTGTAAGACTGTGCAACAAACACTTCCAGACCACGCTTAACAAACAGCCTGACAGAAGATGCATCTTCATCAAGGCTTCCACTGGCAAAACCCTACAAAGAAAATATAACAGTCAGTAAGAGGCAAATTGTGAAAATAAAGTAAAAAAAAAACTCGCATGAAAACGACTCACCTGATAGGCAACATCAAAGAAAGGCATATGCTTTTTCTCTTCAATCACATCTGCCAGTTTCTCCCACTGTTCAGGAGTTGGGTCAATTCCAGTTGGATTGTGAGCACAACCATGTAGCAGAACAAAAGACCCCTCTGGGGCAGCCTAGTTTGCAAAGAGTAAAACATTAGGTCAAACAATAACTGGTGCATAAGTTAACGATAGTAAAAAGGAAAAGTCACTTCATTTCCAGATTGCAAGTTTCCTATGATGAGTGCAACCATTGCAGTTCAAACAAAATAGTGCAACCACTGGGGGAGCACAGGAAGGGGCCAGCTCAGCAGAGCGGTCCATTTGTTGCTAGTGAGGCAAAAAAAAATCAAATCCTAAGAGAAGGATGGGACAACACATGACCCAACCTGACGCTCTGCCAGTGAGTGCAACCCAATAGAATGAAAAAAAAACTACTCATAACGAAGTTCATCCAATTAAAGATAGCAATATAAAGAGCAATATTTGAATAATGGTTAATTTTCTTGGTACAGATATTTTAAGTACCTGTATGTCAGCTATCATTCCTTCAAAATCCAGCCCAACAGTCCTGGGATCATAATACCGGTATTCTGACCATGGTACCCTCGCATCATTGAATATGTTTTTGTGGTTTCCTGTTAACATATAAATTGGACGAATTTTTTAGATTCACCACAGAAAACAATGAAAAATAGACTTATGCACATGAAGTCATGAGCACTAGTTGCAGTTCCCAGTTCGCCATACATACCCCATGTGGGAGATGATATAAGTACTTTCGCATCAGGGAAGTATCTCTGAATAAAAGCTGCAGCAAGGCGTAATGATCCAGTCCCTGAGAGAGACTGAAGAGTAGCAACCTACAATAGGAGTGGTTACTAAATAAGGTTAACTAAACATAAGAGGAAACTCCTCAGGTGACAGCTTGTCAGGCAGTCATAATATAACAAGAGCGATGGCAAGGGCTGCATAATCCATACCCGTCCTTGCTTGATGACAGGATTGTCAGCTCCAAGCAATAGATCTGCAGTTGCTTTGTTAAATGCAGCGAAGCCTTCAATAGGCAGATACTGCACCATAAAGAAAACATTCAGCCTTTCATTCTCAGTGAAAGAAGAGAAGGATAATATGATTCTTTATGACCCAAGTCCAAATCATCCGAATTGTAAAATTTCCATCATACCTCCTTGTTTTCTCCTTTCTCCAACATAAGTTTTTCAGCCTACCACATGTAGCAGTAGCACATCAAAATAGGAACCTAAATTATTCAGGAAATGCCAAGGACGATTAGACTTACCTTCTTGACAACATTGAGGACAGCGGGCTGTAGCTCTTCCGTTCTATAGGCACCAACGCCAAGGTTGAGCTTCAGATCACTTGTGTCTGCTTTAAATGCTTCCGAAACCCCAAGAATCGGGTCTGGAGGGGCCATTGGCACTCCTTCAAAGCGAGAAGCATCTACTGCAACTGCCATCGTTATGTGGCTAGTATTCTGCATCCAAAACGGCAAAGGAAGAATTAAATTTCAAAACACAAACCATATCAAGAGATGTCAAATATTGGCCTGGCACCAGGCTTCAAGACACAGCTGACGTCACATGCAAAAGGATTATCCATGGAGAAACAGAGATGCTGGCTTAACCAGCTACACAACCAACTGCAATGTGCCTCAACTTTGAAACAAGCAACTCTAGAGTGGTCCTATCACTATAAGTACTGTAAATACGTATAACTACTTCTACCAGAAGAAGCCTGGACTAAGCACGCGCATGTTTATAGCTGTGCAGAATAAAAGCGCAGCTTCATGATTGTTCATGTGTCAATGACTGCTTGTTCTCAAAAGAAGTCAGCATACTTTATGATTTATGATGAACAGAAGTTATTCACAGACGACACTCGATCCTCCGAATCCTTAAGAGTGTTCCTGATTATTATTATTTCTACTCCCTCCATCCGGAAATACTTGTCAGAGAAATGGATGTATCTAGAATTAAAATACGTCTATACTAGTAATTCCGGACGGAGGGAGTACTTACTACTCTGTCCCGACTAGCAGAGCTGAAAGGTCGCTGAAAAATTGAATTGCTAGGAAAGGTGCGTATCGGAGTCATGCGAAGTCTGAATCCCAGGAGGCACCAGCAGCCCAGATACGATTCCGCGTGACTCAGTATGGTTCTAAAAGCTTGTGGCATCGTGCACAATTGGAAATCACAGCCCTGAATCGAGAACACCGCAAGTAAAACCACTAGCAGTCCTGAATTACTGGCCCAGGAAGCAAGTTACGAGGCCACAGAAATTTTATAACAGAAAATGTGCATATATCAGAGCTTCGTGACGGCTGAATCCCAGGAGGCACCCCAGCAGTTCAGTGCATGGTACTCCATGAACCGCTGTTGTTCTAAAAGCTTGCAGCATCATGCATGATTGCCAATCACGGTGCAGACTATGTAGGAGCTTGCTTAGTCGATTCTGAGCATTACCGTGCATATGAACACTGAACCACTAGCAGCCCTGAATTGGATCAGTCAACAAATCGTGCACGCATGAACACCTGTGACAGGGCCCGGAACCATCTAGCACAGTCGCGTTACAGAACCAAACCAATTCTTCACAAATCAAATGCGGGATCTGGGTAAGCCAGAGCGAGCGGGGACACAGGATCGGACCAATCACCTTCCTCGCGACCCCGACGCGGCACCCGGCCCTCCCATCGTTCCTTCCTCCTCCGAACACCTGCGCCCACGACAAAAAGAGAAAAGGTTCAGAATCCACCGCACCGGCAGAGAGACAGACGCGTTCGGCATCAGATGAGGCGGGCCCGTGCCTTGCACCGGGCGGCGGCGACGGCGGAGGCCGCCGGGGCGGAGAGGGCGGAGGCCATCCGCGTGGGGCGAGAGCTGCAGCGCGCGGAGGATGGGGCGAGGGTGATCTGGGATCAGAGCGGAGCACGGGTGGATGGCGATGGCCTTGGAGTCTCCGTCGGAACTGAGGTTGGTCTTGTTGGATGGTTCGGTTCTGCTGTCGACTTCCGGGGCCGCGGATTCGAACCGGGAGGGCGACGTGGCCGAGCCTCGGCCGTCGATTTCGAGCCACTCTGCTTCCGAAAACCAGGCCCAAGCTGCATTTTACACCCACGGTATTCCCTGGGTTGCGCTCAAAGAGAGAACTGTTTATCTACCTTCAATATTTTGTCAAAAAAAAGACATGCTTGCCTTTTCCATTTGTCAAAAGCTAGTGTGGAAGAACGACCACCTTCGGCGCAACTCGGTAGTTAAAAATTGAAACGGCATGACACAATTGTGTCCGGAATCTCGACAAGAGTAAATCAATCTGCCTTTTGCCAGTTACTTTGAGGACGAGCAACCATCTGTAGTCCAGTTCTAGAACTAACCTAAATTGAAAGTGCACTTTTGTTTTAAGAGACACGTGCATGCTAAGTCAACAAAATCTCTTGCGCTTCATCGACATGGCTGTGTAGGGAGGTTTAATTAAACCCATACACCATCGTCTGTCTCATGTTCTTCTCCTCCTTCTCTTTTTCTTTTGGTCGTCCTAACTCCTCTTCTCGCCGTTTTCTCTGCCACCTCCCCTTCCATCACCATTTCAATATGTATTAATTAAGTGGAAGCAAAAGCTAGACAAAAAACGTATCATATGTATTGCATGTTAAATTTTCGTAAGTAGCAAGCCTCTTGTGCGAATCCACATAATTCTTGTTCATTCTAGAATTACTTTTCTGTAATAATGTGGTGTCTGAACTTACTCCACAATCTCTTAAGAAAATGACCAAAATTTGCATGCTTTTAGTTAAGAAGATATTATATGTATTCCTTCCAAAAGGAATAAAATGGAACTCAGGTCGTCCGTTTGTAAATAGATAATAACCATTTTCTGACAATAATATCTTAAGAAAATATTTATTTCAAGAAAAAAAAGAACATTTAGTAAAAAAAAGAGAGCATTTTTCAGAGTAACAAAAAAAAGATTTGGGGCGCCCTTACTGATCCGCATACAATATGGACTTTTATCAATTCTAGTACTGTTTGTTTGCAGTTGCAAAATGCGATGTACGCGCCCTACTTTACAATCTCCTATAGAATGACCATAAATGTTACAGTCTTCGGTTAAGCAAATATTAATATGCATATATTGTATACACATAACATTTTTTTGTTAAGAATGAATATGCAATGGAATAATCTTTGAGATACAATATTTTCGTCCAAGAAAAAAAGGAATTTTTGTTGAAGAAGAAAATAGTTTTTTGTAGCATCAAAAAGGTTTTTTTTAGTAAAAAGAGAAGAGGCACTTAGGACACCTTTACCAGCCCACTATCAGTCCAGGCCCAAGCCCACACACTATGAGCCCACCAACGAACCCGGCCTCGCCGCAAGAACAACCCAACCAAACCCTAGAGGAGCACGAACCCGGACTCCCGCCAAAACGCGCACCGCTTTCCCGCCAAACCACCCTCTCTATTACCCTCTTCGCGCCACCACTCCCATCCCCACCCCCCTCGCCGTCTCCCTTCCCATCCTCTCCCATTCCCCGCCGCGTCCGCACCCACCCGCCCACGCACGCGCCCGTGCCCCTCTCCTCGCCGCCGCCGCCGCCATGTCGGGCTGGGACGAGGGCGCCGTCTTCTACAGCGACCAGGCGCAGTTCCCGCAGGGCGACCCCGCCGCCGCCGACATCACCCGCCACTCCGCCCTCCGCAAGTTCAAGGAGTTCCTCCGCGGCTTCACCGGCCCCACCGGCGACTTCCCCTACCGGTACCCCCCGCCCCTCCCCTTCCCCTCGCCAGATCTGGCGCCGTTGTCGAATCGGGCTAGGCTAACCCGTGTACGCGTTTATATGTTGCAGTGAGAGCCTCGTGCACAACCGCGACCATGTCACCGTCGCCATCGAGGACCTCGACGCCTTCGACGCCGAGCTCGCCGACAGGATCCGCAAGGCGCCCGCAGACTACCTGCCGCTGGTGCGTTGCCATCTCTGAAACTGTGTCATGTGTGTCTTTTTCCTGTTGGTTCAGGGATTGGTGTCTAATTCTTGGCGTGGTGGGTTTCTGCAGTTCGAGACGGCCGGGTCCGAGGTTCTCGCCAGCCTTAGGTCGAAGGTCGCGGGCGAGACCGGGGAGATGGAGGAGCCTGTCACCGGCGATGTGCAGATCTTCCTGTCCTCCAAGGAGAATTGCGTCTCCATGAGATCTATTGGGGTCAGTTCTGAAACCAATTCTGTAAAAATTAGCTGATTTCAGAGAGTTTTAGGAACTCCATTTTGATAACCAACAAAAAAATTACAGGCGGATTACATGTCCAAACTGGTGAAGATTGCGGGTATTGCAATTGCCGCATCGAGGGTGAAAGCCAAGGCAACTCACGTGACACTGCTCTGCAAGAACTGCAGGAGTGTGAGGACTGTGCCGTGCAGGCCAGGCCTAGGTGGGGCTATTGTCCCACGATCCTGTGATCATGTTCCTCAGGTATATTTCCCAGTGATCATATTCAATCATTGCCCTGCTGTTTAGTTTTTGTATTGTTATTAATGGTGGTGGTACTGATGTATCTGATCGTTTCGTTTCCTTAGCCTGGAGAAGAGCCTTGCCCCCTGGACCCCTGGATTGCAGTCCCTGACAAGAGCAAGTATGTGGATCTACAGACTCTCAAATTGCAGGAAAATCCTGAGGTTAGTATTATGCTTCCTGCAGAACTGCTGAGTTGTGCAGTAATCCGTTTTTATACGATGTTCACTTGCCAACTACTGTGACATGACAACAATCATTAATCTTTATTAATATCATCTTCCAGGATGTTCCAACTGGTGAGCTTCCAAGGAATGTGCTGCTTTCTGTAGACAGACATCTTGTTCAGACAATTGTTCCAGGGACTAGATTAACTGTGATTGGCATCTACAGTGTATTCCAAGCATCCGGGACGAACAAGTATGTTTCAGAACTGAGTTTTTGCTGTTAGCTAAGCTGGTTACATGGCTGATGCCGCTGTACATTCATTTTGCAGCCAGAAAGGTGCTGTTGGAGTTAAACAGCCCTACATTAGAATCGTGGGGTTAGAGCAGTCTCGAGATGACAACACAAATGGCCCCTCACATTTCACACTCGATGAGGTAGTTTAATTTTTAGTGTTTTCATTAATCATGGGAGTTGCACTTTTTTCCTGTAATGTTAACTTTCTTGTTTGGTTGCAGGAAATGGAATTCAAAGAATTTGCACAGAGGCCGGATGCATATGCCAAGATTTGTTCAATGATAGGCCCTTCAATTTACGGTCATGGTGATGTCAAGAAAGCTATTGCTTGCCTTCTGTTTGGGGGATCAAAGAAGGTATTTGATATTATCAGCCTCTGATATGCATTGCAAATTAATCTGTATCCCGTAGCTAATCGTGAGTGCTCCCATGCTGTTTGAACTATTGTCTACTGCAGAGGCTACCAGATGGCGTCCGTTTGAGAGGGGACATTCATGCCTTGCTTTTGGGTGATCCATCCACAGCAAAATCCCAGGCAAGTGCTGTTTTAAGTTATCACAGCATTTAGTTTGTTGGCAAAAAACATGACAATATAGGTCATATTAGTCTTGTCAACTCCCTGGAGTTGTTGAAATTTGTAAGTGATTACTGATTTCGCTTGCTGGAATATTTGGAAGGAGAGAAACATAATCTAGTTTGATACCTTGAACTAGCAAGTAGCTTTCAAGTCAGTCAACTTTCAGGGATTAAGCTCCTGCTCTCCTTTTGCTGTTGCATGTGTCAGTAGATTATACTTATGTACTCAGTACTCAACCTTTTATTGTGCATTATGCAGAAGTGCTACCCTTTCACTAAAAAATGTCACGGCTTGCACTCTGAATTCATGTGATACACTAGTTTAGTTAACATAATTTGCCAAAATTAATTGTTTCTGGTTTTTACACTATTATAAAGACCAATGATTTCTGAGTGAGTGACATGCATTTCTACATTTGGACAGTTTCTGAAGTTTGTAGAGAAGACAGCACCAATTGCAGTCTATACCTCTGGAAAAGGTTCATCTGCAGCTGGTCTTACAGCATCTGTAACCCGGGATAGTAACTCGGTATGCTTGTCTAAATCAAATTACTTACTCTGTTACTCTCAAGTTTTTGTTCTGTGTGTAAAAGGCTATTCTTTTCCTGCACAGCGTGAGTTTTATTTGGAAGG